ATTTATTTTAAAATAAAAATTTAAATAAAAATATCTTAGTATGTCATGATGTATTAATTGCAAAGTGGCATCCAACTGAAAGAAAAATTTGAAAATAATTCTTTACTGGAGTTTTGTAAAGATTGCTTACCCCGCGATAAAATTCATCCGTCTTATTAATTTGAATTTTTTCCATCTTTATGAAATTCAAACTAAATGAAACGAAACTTTTACAAATTAATAATAAATATGTAATAAATATTAGATATGTATATACCTATACATATCTAATTCAAATTAAAAATAATGATAAAATGAAGTTAGTTTATTTTAATAAAACAACATAGAGCTAATTTTTATTTTAATTTGTTAAAAAATATTTTATGTGTGACCCCGCAAATTTTTTTTCTTTGCAATGAGGCTCGCAATTTTTTTTTCCTTTGCAATGCAAAAGGTCATACTTTAGACACCCATGACTTAGAGACATATTATTTTGCTTTGATTCCCGTTACTCATAATTTAGATTTAGAAGGAAACTTTTCTCTGAATCCAGATTATATCTAAACTTCATATTGGTTTTCTAGAGCATTGTTTCAATTAAAAACTTATTCTCATTAATGATGAAACTCTTAATCTGAACTATTAAAATCTGTTGTGCGTCTGTTTGTTTACTTGTTTGTTGCTTTATCTCCTCCATTTGATTGGAGTTCATGTGAATTTAATAACATTTGATTCAACTATGATATAAATGTTTCAGGTTTTTGCTATATTGAAGAAAATGTTTTGGAAATTAGTTAATGATAAAATTTGGTCTATATGAGTCTATTCATAGCAATTACAGTTCTGAAAATGAATTCAGAAAACTAATATTCTCCTATTTATGATCATGATGGTATATTTTTGACATCGGTAATAAGAAACTTTGGATGTAAATAGAATTATTACAAAAATATTTTTTATGATTTTTGTAAAGTTTGGATATTTAAGCCCTTTATAGAATTTAAAAGAATGCTATGGTTATTTGTTTAAATCAATAAAGTTCTTTTCAAATGTATTTTGCATGTGCAAGAGTAAGATTTATATAAATTTTATCAAAGTTCAATCTGATAATCTGGGAGTTCTGTAGTTTTGTTTGATATTATTATGGCATGAAGTTTATTTATCTGATCTACTTGGCATATTGTTTCTAAAAGTACGAGAAAAAAAATACCTCATTTTACAATCGGCTCACCAGCGGCTGAGCGGTAAGTCGCTGAACACTGGTAGTCGTCCGAGGTTCGAATCCCCGCGAACGGGCTGCTGCATGGGAATTTTCGGTTTTCCCCATATGTAACGTTTAACTAGCCAGTTTTCCTAGAAGACTTCCCGAAACATCCCTCCCCTTAGGCAGATAGCCCTGGAGGCTTTGCCATAATCACACACACGCTATTTTATAATCTTCTAACCTAGATGCTCGTTTGTTCTGAATGTGTATATAGGTAATATAAAAAATTTTTGTGTTTGTGATAAATGTTGGATGTTTGAAACTTTTGCTTAAAACTATTAAAAACCATAAAAACAATGTCGGAGTTACTGATTTAAATGAGAAATATTAAAACTCGGTATTTACTATTAAAGATGTTTGGTTTATACGAGTGTTGTCATATAATTTGAATGTTTTATGCTGTTGGCAGCATTTAAAATAAAGTTATACATACATATGAAAGGCATGAGGATATCTTCAGACAATGTGTCTAACATTCAGATGTTTGGCGTAAGTTAGTTTATTGGAAAATGAAACTAGGAAATTGCTTACTTGCTTATTTTTCATCATGAATGTAAATCACGAATATAATAATAGCATGCCGTAACTGAAAAATAAGTAAAAAAAAATGTTGTAAAATCCATACATCATGCTATTATTATATACAGTATTTCAGTTACAGCATACTATAATTCACATAATTAATGAATATTCAAAACAAAACTACAGTACTCCCAGATTATATCAAATTGAAACTTGTGATAAAATTTACATAAACCATACCCTTGAACATACAAAATACATTTGAAAAGAACTTTATTGATTTAAACAAATACCCACATTGTTTAAATCTATAAGGTCTTAATATCCAAATTTTACATAATCTAAAAATATTTTGTAATAATGCTATTTACATCCAAAGTTTCTTATTACCGATGTCAAAAATATACCACATGATCCTAAATAAGAGAATATTAGTTTTCTGAATTCATTTTCAGAACTGTAATTGTTATGAATACTCAATAGACCAAATTTTAACAATACTACGTCATTTGAAAGACATTATGTCATTAACAATTGTCAAACATTTTCTTCATATACAAAAACCTGAACATGATATCATAGTTGAATCAAATGTTTTTTAAATTCACATAAATCAAGCATTTGAAAATGAAAAATCCAATTTCAAAGAACCTTATTCATTTAAACGAATAATCGCAGCATCGTGTTTAATGCTAAGGCCTCATCCAGATTTTACTAGAATCATAAAAGAAGTTTATAATAATTCTATTTACATCCAAGTCCTACCTACAGTAGAAGTATACTATCATGTTTATAAATAAGAAACATAAATAGCTTTTTTATTTTCATAATCATCATGAATAGATTACATTAAATCGAGTCTTAACAATATGAACAACGACCAAGGCCAAAAGCGGTCCGATTAACGACGTTTCAGCGATGTCGATAAATTGCCAAGATGCAACCGCAAATATTTTACTTTTTTGCTGCGTTGTAATGACGTCGTAAAAGTTACCACGGCCACTTTGCAACCATGTGCTACTTGGGGAATGCACGATTTGGAAATTAAACCAAAGGACTTTGTTATTATGAGCAAAATATTAGAAACTCTCTCTAATGAATTTGAGCCACTAAAAATGGCTTGGTGTGCAAGGCCGGAAGAACAGCAAACACTGCCGGAACTGAAGGGACTGCTAATTTCAGAAGAGCAGAGAAGGATTCAGCCATGTAGGCAGTAAATTTTGCTTTAAATGGCTAAAGATACTGTTGGAAAAACAGCAAGCGAGCAAACATTTTCAAGAAAAAACGGGTCCGTTAACAAATAGAGAAAACATTATAAATGTTTTAAAATGTAGCAAAAAGGTCACTTAAAAAGGACTGTAATCCCATAAAAATATTACATGACATCATCTGATGAAAATCCAACTATGGAGAAACCTTTATTAGTGAGTCTCTCATTGTGACTGATAATAATGCATCGCTAATCCACACTGGAGCTACTCAGCATATTACAAACAAAATTGACTGGTTTCAATCATATACAAAATTTGAGAGTCCAATTGAAGTAAGAGTTGGTAATGATGCAACAATGAAAGCTTATAGACATGCTGGCATACCACTTAAAATGTTAGTACAGAGTTCATGGAGAAACAACTTCCTGGAAAATGTACTATAAGCCCTTGATACTGCAAGGAATTTATTTTCTCTAAGCCAGGCACTAGACCCATGGATGCGAGTTTAATATGGCAAATGATAAATGTGAATTTTTGAAATCCAAAAATGTTGTTGCTGTTGGAATTCGCTGTAGTAATTTATTCAAGTTATTGCGCAAAACCGTGTCTCCTGAAATTGAATGTAGTGTTGTGTGTCCCCCTGAAGCGCAGGTAATTGTGTCCCGAAAAGGTTTTTAAATTCTAAGTCGAAACTTTTACCGTATCTAAAATCTTTTTATATGAAGAACATCATATCTATATCTATAATCGATCTATATTCGACAAGGTTAAATTAAATATTTATTTACAATATTTACAGTTAATTAGTTAATTAATCAACATACAGAAAATTCTACAAATCAAAGGATATGGCTTAATGCGCCATTCCCGTCTAGCATCTAACATCTGACTTCTGCTTCAGGTCAAGGGCGCTGCTATCGCTGTATGACATCATATTTCTCTACACTCCCCACCTGAACTCGCAGAGTTCACACAATTAAGCAGAATAGCAATTAAATTCAAATAAAATGAAAATACTTACAGTTATTTACTGTAACAAATTAAAAAGGAAAAAATCTTCTTAAACATCTACTAAAATATAAAATTAATCATATTAATCAATTAAACATAAGAAATAACTGAATATTCAATAAGTTCAAAAAGTTTTCATCAAATGTTGGGAAAAAAGTGAATAGTTCAATCAATAGTTCTCAGGTTGGTTCACAACTTCTAAAGGATATAAGAGTTGTATGGGTCTCTTAATTTGTCCTTTGGGTGTCTTAATCAGACAAGAACGAACATGTTGATCTCGTCCTCTGTATAACTCAACTGGCACACCAAGTTCCCATAACAATTTGGATTTTGTAGACCCTTCCAAAAGAACAACATCTCCAAATTTTAATTCTTTACTTGGGTTAGGAGTATCCAAATGGTGAGCCGTTCGTAAGTCAAGTAGATATTGTTCCTCCCATCTTTTCCAGAGGCGTTCTAAAAGTGTAGTTTGGTACACTTGTCTTTTCGTCAGCTAACTTCTATTTGAATTCTTGGCAATCATCTCGATAAAATGAAGAGGATAATTATGATTTTTTTGACCAAAGTTGAGAAAGTGTGCTGGTGAAAGAGGCTCTGGTTCTTCCAAGTCATTATAAATGTAAGTTAAATGTCTTTGATTTATGACATATTCAACTTCTGTCAAAAGAGTAGTCAAACTCTTCAAAATTTAATAGGGCTTTTCCAAGTACTTTTCTTAAACAGTCCTTCACAGATTTCACTAAACGTTCGTAAAAACCTCCTCACCATACAGCACTTTCTACAATAAATTTCCAGATTATCTTCTTACAGGCAATAAAATCTTGAAATTTAAATCCTTCAGTATTTTTGAAAAATGCTCGAATTGTCGGTTTACCTTTTGAAAGGTTTTGGCATTATCCGAATAAATTGTGTCGCAATGTCCTCGTCTTGATACGAATCGTCTAAAAGCCATCAAAAAACTTTTCTTTGGACATGCTGGAGACTAGCTCTAAATGAAGGGCTCTGGTAACGGCTCAGGTGAAAAGAACTATGTACGATTGCTCAGTTCCGGTTTCTGATCTAACCCAAACTGGACCCGCGAAGTCCATTTCTGAAACCAAAAATGGTGGAGTCTGAACTATTCTGTATTTTGGCAGCTGTGCGGTCATCTGTTGAGCAGGTTTTGCTGTATACTTTCTACAAATAAGACAGTTTCTAAGTATCTTCTTTATAAGCTGTCGGCTTTTCGGTATCCAGTATTCTTTTCGAAAACTGGTCAAAGTGGCTGTAACTCCACTATGCATTAACTTGTTATCTCTTTCAGTAATCAGTTCCGTAAATTTTGAATTTCGAGGTAAGAGGAGAGGATGTTTTTCTTCGGTGCTGAAATCGGAGAATTGTAGTCTTCCTCCAAGCCATAAGATTCCTTTATCGTCTAAAAACGGGGAAAAGAAAAATATGGATGACTTCTTAGATATGCTTTTATCATTTTCTAATGCCGAAATTTCCGAATTATAAGCTACTCTTTGAATTCTACGGATCCAGAATTCTTCTGCGTCTTTAAGCTCTTCAGCTGTAGAAACATCTGTTAAATTTGCAGGTTTCCTAGTTTTCAAAGTGAAGCGTTTAATCCAAGCTGTTATTCTAAATATTTTCATAAGATTACCGTACTTGGAAATATCAAATAATTCATCTTTCTCTTGCACGATACATTTATACTGTTGGGCACAAGCAAACTTCTTTCTATATTCCAAATTTTCTTCTTCAACAACGTCTACATTACCAGAGGGTAAAATTCTGAAGACTGTAAAAGCCAGGGTGGGTCATGCCACCAAAGTTGGCAATTTATTAAATTAGCAACAGTATTTCCTCGTGATATGAGGTCAGAAGCGTTATCTTTCCCATGGCAATAATGCCAGTTATTGCTTTCAATTAGTTTCTGAATTTCATAAACTCTATTTTTGATGAAAGGTTTAAATCTTTCGGGAGATCCATGAATCCAAAAATAAGTAATTTGAGAATCAGTCCAATGGAAAGGGATTACTTCGTATTTTAAACATTTTGCGATTTTATCACTCAATCTGGCTGATAAAAGCGCTCCCAAAAGCTCCAATCTAGAAAGTGTAAGTGATTTCAGAGGTGCAACTCTACTCTTGAAAGCAACAAAAACTGTTTGAAAAGTTCCTATTGTTCAAAACTATTCTTAGATATACCACGCATCCATAAGCTTTCAAAGTAGCATCAGAAAAGCTATGGAGTTCTATTTGTTTCACATCTACATCTGATATTCTCTCTAAATAGTAGCGGGAAATCCTGAGGTGGTTCAGTTCTTCAATTTCTTCGTACCAGGCTTTCCATTTATAACAAAGATCAGGTGGCAGTTCATCGTCCCAATCAATTTTGGCAGACCAGATTTTTTGAATCAGACACTTTATTCTTATAGTAAAAGGGCCACAAAATCCGACAGAGTAGATTTGATCCAAAATACGGCCTGCGTTTTGTAATAGAAAACGTTTTGAGTTTATTGACGAGGAAATGAAATTTGTCAAGCGCTGAGTGTCAAAACAAAAATTATCATTATCTGTATTCCAGTTAATTCCTAACACTTTGATCGGGCGAAATTCAGAAGATTCTTGTATCGAAAAATCTTTGTGATGCCAAGTGTCTTTGAGTTGTTTGGAATTAGTAGGCCACTTATGTTGTGACTTCATTAAAAATGTTCACAATTTCTAAATTTGTTTTCAGGGCTTGTTCTAAATTTTGTTGACCACCAATAATGTCATCAACATACAGGCAGTTGTTTAAGAGTTCTACTGTTTCAGAATAGATTTCTGAATATTTTTAAGGTGATGTTTAATAGTAGCAGCTAGCAGAAAGGGACTAGATTTTACTCCAAACAAATCTGTTGTAAATCTAAAGGTTTTCAAATTTTCATTGCTATCACCAGGATCACCTTTCCAAAAGAATCGTGTAACTTCCCTGTCTTCTTCATTTAACTCTATCTGTAAAAATGCTTGTGTAATGTCCGCTGTAAAGGCTATTGAATTTTGTCTAGATTTTATCAATAAATCAAAAATATCAGGATATAGGTTAGGACCAGTATATAAACAGTCATTTAGAGAAAGTGTTTTTACTTTATGGGCTGAAGCATCATAAACTATTCTTAATCTGCTTGTTGCTCTAGCATTTCTGATCACTGCTCTATAAGGTAAATAAAATAAGGTCTTATCATTTCGACTTTCTTCCTGAGCGGGTTCAATAATATGTTTTAACTCGCAATCCATTAAAACCTCTGTATATTGAACAAACAAAGGGTTATCACTTTTAAATTTGTTATTTAATTTCTTAAATCTTTAAAGTGCTATATCTGTTAGCATAAATTTAGGTATTTTGCATAATGAAACTCGAAACGCGTACGAAACGAACGTGCGCCAAGATATATATTGGCGTGAGAAAGTAAAGTTCGTGTGCAATGCAGTATATATGATTTTCACCTTAGCTACGTGCAGTGTATTCGATTTGCACCCTAGCTATTTCACGGCCAAAGGTTAGTACTTTCTCTTTTCAGGTACGCTGTCAAAGTATGTTCCTGTTTTCTTATTGCCTAAATAGGTATGCTTGAACATGTATGACTTATATTTGTATGTAAGTTATCTCCTTTTCGATAATTCAATGTTTTAATGTCTGTGAAGATTATTACTTTTTTGTTATGCTTAGTTAAAAAATTATCTATTTATAAATAAAGATTTCGTAGTTATTTTTTTGACTTATGATTCTTTAATGAAAACTGCGCCTGACAAAACTTACTCACTACGCCTGCAGTGCTAATGCACAAACCAACAATATCCTTATTATCTTCCATTAAATGATTTGAATTTGGTTTCCAAGGTAATTTTACTTGGTATCTGCCGTTCTTATACTTGATAACAGATTCGAAAGATTTCATAATTCCTAAATCAACAGTTTTGTCGTTTTGAGTATCACTTTCTAAACCTAAGTTTTCTAGCTTCCAAAACTGTTGTAATTGATCTTATATCAAGTTTCCATTTACTATTACTTTCATAGTTAATAATTCACTATGATCATTATTTACTTTACCCTGCAAACACCACCCAAATAAAGATTCTGTGGATACTACATTTCTTGAAATTCTTTTAATTTTACCAGTAATTCTAGAATAGTATAAATCTACTCCTATGAGAATATCAATTTTGTCACTTTGTCTACAACAGTCTGCTAATTGTAAATTTTGTAAAACTTTAGTTTTCTTAGCAAAGTTCAAATCTGGAGGGGAGATAACAGTATTGGATATATTTTCGGTTTCAAGAAGCTCAATATACAGTGGTGGCCAAGATTGTGGACACTTTTCGAAACTTTTATGTTTTTGAACTTTGTATGCTTATAGAAAACGTTACGTTTCACAAAATGCAAACTTGTATATATCATTTTAAAGAGAATTTACTGAATTCAATACAAAACGCAAAATTCAATTATTTGCAATACAAAAAAAGTTAAACGATAATAGTTATCGACATATATTAGATAGTGATAATTGTAGTGAGTTATCAGTACTTAGTAGTAGGGTACCCTTTATTTTTGATTACAGCTTCACATCGACATTTCATTGAGCTGACAAGAGTTTTAAGCTCTTCTTTCGTTATTACACTGCCTCAATTCGCCAGGAAACAATTATAGCCTCAATTAGTTCCCTTTTATTTGATGGGCGCCTCATTCGGACAAGAGTTTTCAAACAGTGCCACAAGTTTTCGATAGGATTGAGGTCAGGACTGTTTCCTGACCATGGCAACAATTTAATGCTCTTTGCACGAAACCACTCTTTCGATATTTTGGCCGTGTGGCAAAGAGCAGAATCCTGCTGAAAAATAAACGAAGCATTGTTGGAAAAGAGATCTCTGATGGAAGGTAGAAATTTTGGTTCTAGAATAGTGTCAATGTATTTCTGGATCGATGACATGAAGGTGACCAATACCATCTGCTGACATGCATGACCAAATCATAACACTAACTGGGTTCTTCACAGTTGCTTGAATGCAGTCAGGATGTAGCTCTTCTCCTATTCTACGTCTTACATATTTTCGACCATCACTACCGAATAACGATATCTTAGTTTCATCACTCCATATAACTTGTGACCACTGATCATCTGTCCAAGTAATGTGTTCCTTTGCCCACTGTAGTCTTTTTTTTTTTTTTTTTTTTTTTTTTTTCTTTGTTGCTGAAAATTAAGATAAGGCTTTTTTCGTGGAATTCTACCTCTCAGTCCAACATCTGTTAATCTTCTCCTGATTGTTCTTGAACTGACAGAAACACCAGCATCATTCAGATCACTTCTGATGGCCGCTGATGACATTTATATATCTTGGAGACATAGCCTTTTTAGACATAGCCTTTTTATTCTTCTGTCATCAATAGATGTGGTGCACCTTTTCGGCCTTTTCCTTCTTTGTTTTTTATTGAATTTGTCTCCTGATATCGTAAACAAAACTTTCGGACTCCAGATGTAGTCACTGAACCACCCACCTGTCTTGCAGTTTCAGCATAGGAAAGACCCCCTTTCTCGTAACACATATATTACATCTCTTTCTAGGTGTCCAATCTACTCTTTTATTTGATGTCATTGCTTCTTGACTAATATTAAAACTTTTTTACAAAAATCCTACTTGTAATTACAGTGTATAAAAACAGGTCCTCCTTCTACAAAACAAAGCAAAATAATGAATCGTTTCAAGTGTAAACATGATGTCAGCTTCTACTAGCAGTTACTAACATTTGATTGGTTCTCAGCAGTCCCGGATCTAGGAGGGGGCAAGACGGGGTCTGTGTCCCGGGCGGCTACTTCTGAGGGCGGCAGATTCAAGAGTGACGCTGAATTGTATTTGGAATGTTGTGAAATTTTCATGCAACATTAGTAGTTTTAAAGCCAGATTTAAAAACCTCTTTTAAGAATATTTAATTAATTAGTCGAAACCTTTTAATGGAGCAAATAGTTTTAAAAGTAAGCTAAGTACAGCCGAACACGACTCTAAAGATCAGATCAGGGAGAGGACAATAGAGGGAATCCAGGCGTCACTGAAAAAGTCAAAGTACCCTGTCCCTCTGCCAACCCAATATGTAATTTTATTACAAAGGTACTCCCTAGACGCCTTGGTCTTTGGTCCCTGTAAGTGACGCATAGAGCAAAGAATCTATATATATTTCCCCTCAACTTCTTTGCCTAGAGTCCCTCTGTTGTCCTCTCTCCTGGCGGTAATATTCAAATGAAAAACAGAACGATTGCATAGAGGCGCTTTGTTTTTATACCAACGCCTCTTGCGAAATAAATGGAGAAGCATTGTAAATTGTAACTCTTTCCTAATACCCAATACAAATTAACCTTGGACCAATAAAATAATTCAAATTAATGTACGTCGAGAATATACAACACAAATTAAGTAAGGTATTTTGATTTTTTTCAGTCAGTCAGCAACCTAGGGTTTAAAAGTGGATTTATTATTTTAATAATTTTTAAAGTTTTTTTTTAGTTTTTTTAATCTGGAGGGTTTTTTGTTGTCTCATTTTCTTTTAATATGCCTGCTTCTAGTATTCCTTACTATATTTAGCGAGATGCAACCATTTAGTTAGCGAGCGCGTCTGCGGC